TTATCGAGTTGATGTTAAGTTGATATTAAGTCAATGTTAGGTTGTTTTTAAGTTAATGTTGAGTTGATGTTGAGTTAATGTTAAGTTGATATCAAGTTAATGTTAAGAAACTGTTAAATCTATGTTAAGTTGAAGTTGATGTTAAGTTAATGTTGAGTTAATGTTAAGTTAACGTTAAACTAATGATGTCATTCAAATATTGCAGTAAAATTAAATAATAATGATAATGATATCACCTTCATGTGATCGAATATGATTAGAAACATATTCCCTACTCTGGTCTTATAAACACTCATGACATATAATATAAATATTTGTGGTCGTAGGAAAAATGTGAAAAACTCGTTGGAAAGTGCATTTCCTGCGCTCGATTCGTTTCCGCACTCGCCGCTCTGCGGCTCGTGCTAAACGTCCACTCGTGCGAAATATGTCACTTTCCACACTAGTTATGTAATGTAATATACTATCTTAAGTTTCAAATGAAACTATGTAGACAAGTTATAATAATATGTTATGGTTATACGAATTAACGTTTTTAATGTGCCTGAAATTTTAGTAATGAACCTCAGCTAAACAAGTAAAATAAACTTCTATTGTAAGAATATAGTGCGTCATAATTAACTAAACTCATCCGGAATAAAATTATAAAGACACTGGATTTCAGATAACAAATTTATTATCAAATGTTTCACACAGATAAGTGATGAAAACGAGCTATTCCTAAGTGTCAAATTTTATACATCTATTCAGGATAGGTCGTAGGGTTGGTTCATCTTCTTATGATATCGAAAGCAACTTCAATTTATATGACATATTTCACCGAATCTCCCACGCAGCAGAATTAATTCCTGATAATTTTTTCTCGGTTTCTACGAAAGCGCTGAACGGACATGATACTTTTTTTTTATAATTGCCAGATTGATCTGGCAATTAGCCATAATTGTCAGTTTGAACTGGCAATTAGCCATAATTGCCAGTTTGATCTGGCAATTAGCCATAATTGCCAGTTTGATCTGGCAATTAGCTATAATTGCCAGCTTGAACTGGCAATTAGCCATAATTGCCAGTTTGATCTGGCAATTAGCCATAATTGTCAGTTTGGACTGGCATTTAGCGCTTCCGTACGAAAGGATCTATTCATGTTATCGCCATCTAGTGACGTCAAAAAACTAATGCGAAGGCGAACGATTATTTCGACCAACGCAGAGGGCGAGTGGACTGATAATGAATTATTTGCATTCAATTACTCCACTGTGTCGCTAGAGACCTATAGTATATTGTTCAACAAGAACGGAATGTTAGTGATTCTCCCAGAGAATGAAATTTGCAGCATGAGCCGTAGGCAAATAATGCTGCAATCATTCGAGTGGGAAATTAGCATTCCCTGCGAGTTATACACCATAATATTTCTACGGCTGTGACAGATAACAGCGACATTCTTGATTTCTTCTTCTTGTAGCCATCTGATTTCCTCTCAAGTGATGGGCATCTATTAGACAGAGCTGTCATTGCTTGAAATTTGACATTCCATTTGCGGGGTCCTTTCGTACGAAAGCGCTAAATGCCAGTTTAAACCGGCAATTATAGCTGAATGTCAGTTCAAACATGGTTCAAACTGACAATTATAGCTAAATGCCAGTTCAAACTGGCAATGATGGCTAAATGCCAGTTCAAACTGGCAATTATGGCTAAATGCCAGTTCAAGCTGGCAATTATGGCTAATTGCCAGAATAAACTGGCATTTATGGCTAATTGCTAGTTCAAACTGGCAATTATAGCTAAATGCCAGTTCAAACTGGCAATTATGGCTAAATGCCAGTCCAAACTGGCAATTATGGCTAATTGCCAGTTTAAACTGGCATTTATGGCTAATTGCCAGTTCAAACTGGCAATTATGGCTAAATGCCATTTCAAACTGGCAATTATGGCTAAATGCCAGATCAAACTGGCAATTATAGCTAATTGCCAGATCAAACTCGCGCAATTATAAAAAAAAAATTATCATGTCCGTTCAGCGCTTTCGTAGGTTTCACTCATGTATATTTGTTGATAGAAAATCATTCCGAGTCGAAGAGGCTTCATGACATTGAGAAAAATGATCGGTAGACATTTTGTTGCTAAAGAGATTATAAGTGAGAAAACATCATTGGTTACTGCGAAATGAAGATTGAAGAAATTTACACAACCCCTGAAATCAGAATTTGCTTCCATTGTGTAGATATTGTGTCAAAATATTCCATAAAAAACTTACTGGTCCTGCAATTCCTAGATCAATTGTGAAAACTCCACTTGCCGTGAAGGGACGATGATTCTTCAGTTTCTCAATGAATAGACGAACCTGTTGGTGTTCATCAAGACTGGAAATTCTGGTGGAATATTCCAGAAGAAAATTTGTCAGTCCTTGAATCTATAAGTAGAATCGTGACTTAAAGACCAAAAATGTTCATTGTATTCCCAGAAAGTGTCAGTTTTTTCACAAATTCCTGAATAGTTCTGCTTATAAAACGGATAGAAGAGAAAACAATTTTGGAGAGAGGGGATATAAATATCATTCACTGAACATTGAGTAATTGGGTACCAACCGAGGTATGTTTCTCTGACGAAAGTCAAAGGATATTAGAGGAAATATCGTTGGAGAGTAGGGAGATGAGTTTCATCCACTAAACATTGTGTAATTCATCTATTGATTGAATGGGTACCAACCAAGGTATGTTTCTCTGACGAAAGTCATGGGATATCAGGGAAGAAATTCTTGGGAAGTGAGGAGATAAGTTTCATCCACTAAACATTGGGTAATTCATCGATTGAAAGAATGAGTACCAACCAAGGTATGTTTCTCTGACGAATGTCGAAGGATATTAGGGAAAAAATTCTTGGGGAGTGGGAAGATGAGTTCAATCCACTAAACATTGAGTAATTTATCGATCGATTGAATGAGTACTAACCAAGGTGTGTTGCTCTGATGAAAGTCAAAGGATATTAGAGAAAAAATTCTTGGGCAGTAGGGAAATAAGTTTCATCCACTAAGCATTGAGTAATTCATTGATTAACTGAATGGGTACCAACCAAGGTAATGTTTCTCTGACGAAAGTCAAGGGATTCAAATGAGAAATAGGGTACAGTAAGGCCCAATTCTCAAGGGCTCTATCACGCATGAGAGCCTTTCGAGCTTGAAAGAGCTATCCTGAGCCACATTTATTCCAAATGCCTTTGGGAAGAATATATAGATACCTCCATAAAGAATTCACACTTACCTATGTCTTTCTGCTTCTATATACAGGGTGAGTCAGGAATGTGATTTCAGCTTTTTGAATGTGATAGTACATTGAGAATTAAGTATGGTTTGATGAATAAACTGATGACCAAACATGTTTACCAAGAGAGATATACTGGATGGGGCATTAGTGCGTCGATGCCCAATTGCTCGAGTTCTATGATAGCTAGAAACTTGATTCTAGAACGAATGTGCATGAGACAACAAGGTCCATAACTAAAAACTATTGCTACATATACAAGGGGCACCGGAAGAAATCTGGAGAGTCAGGATCACTTTTTCAAAATGAATGCTCTATATGACCTCCATCCACTCCCATGATATTTTTGAATATATCTCTATATTTTTAAAGTTATTAATTTTTTTCTCGAAATAATGTCATTTGCAGATGCATACCGAAATGATCACAGTAGTCACAATTATGAAATTCAAGATGAAATATCATAAATATCATAAAATCTTTCGTAAGCAACATGTGTGCTATCTCTGTAGAATATTCATGCCCTCAAGTTATACAGGGTGGCTAAAAATGATTTTTCAATTCGGAACTTTTGGAAGTGATTTTTCTCGAGTTTTTCAAATGAAACACCCCCTATATTTCAAGGCCATTTGGGGTGGAACCAAAAGACGAACATTTTTCATCTCGACATCCATATATCCATATATAAGTAAACTTTTTTTCTTCAATGAAAGAATTGAAGCAAACATCAGATATAGTTCATATGCTAGTGATTTAAAAAAGTAAAAAAAATCCATTTCCAAAATATCCCATAAATTCATAGCTCATCAAAAACAAAACCAGGATAATAATTCACAATAATGCAAAATGGGAATTTTATTCTTCCTCAACTTGTGATAACTAGCATATCAACTATTTCTGTTTGCTTTGATTGTGGTATCAATTCTTTCTATAAAATAACAAGTTTGATGAATCAATTAGTGGACTTTTGATGTTCTCATAACTGATGAGAATCTGTGTCGATGAAAATGGCCAGCCTATAATTTTCAAAGTTCAATAATTCAAAAATGGTTACGATTATCAATAGGGATGTCAACGAGGTAGATGTTTGTGTTTCGATTTCACACCAAATGGCCTGGAAATATATGGGGTTTTCCATTTTAAAATCTCGAGAAAAATAACTTACAAGAGTTCTGAATAGAAAAAAACATTTTTAGCCACCCTGTATAATTTCGGGGCATGAAAATTCTACAGAAATATCCTGCATCTTTCTATCGAATGATATTATGATTATTTCATCTTGAATTTCATAATTGTGACTACAGTGATTTTTTCTGTATATTGACAGATGACATATCTCGACAAACAAATTTAAAACTCTGAAATGATCGAGATATAGTCAACAATATTATAAGAAATGTCGGAGGTCACAGGGATGCTTCAAAAAATGTGCTAACATACAGGGCACTCCATTTAAAGAAAGTGATCCTGCTTTCATTGAACAAATGTGTAAGTATGAATAACGTCCGTACGTATAAAATGTTACAACATGAGACATTTTTCATTATAAAATTGACTAAAAAAGGTGAATCTTGACAGGAATACGAAACATTTCTAGGGTTGGGATGACAAATGAATAACTCAGTTCAAAATACTATTCAATTCAGAAATGTTTGAGCTGACGCGGTATACTCACCATATTCTTGATATTCTGTGCATTCTTCAGGAACAAATAAAGTCCGTAGGTGTGAAAAATAGCAAACACACAGTTAAGTATGTGAATAGTTGAAGCCATCGGACTCTTGAAGTTATAAACAACATGAGCAACAACAGCGTACCAATGGATGATAAGAATAGCGAGCTCCAAGACAGTATGGATCAAAAACATCGGATCTATACAGTCATTCCAGGCATAAATGCACAAACATAAATCTTCATGGTACATCCTCAAGGACTCCACTAGTTCAGCTGCAGTCAGCGTCGAAAATTCAGCCAGAATATGGTGTTCGCTCCTACAAAGCTTATAGTGAATAACTCCAAGGAAGTCCCTCTCGTTATTGGTCTCATCAATGCCAGCCAAAGGATGCACAGGAGTGTACTTCAAACTGCTGATGAGAAGTTTCTCGAAGCATGCAAATCCTCCTATGATCACTGCCACAACGCCGAAGAACTTCGAGTAGAAAACCAGGGAGATCGTTTGTGAGAACCTGAAGAAGAAGTCTGAGATGCTGAAATTGGTATGATGAGTCTCCGACTGGTGCAACCAGTAGTAAAGGCCAGCTTGTGAGGCAGCTAGGCATATGAACAAGGAGATAATGCAGTACTGCGTTGTGAGGACTATTCTCCTGGCAGACTGGCACAGTATGCCGTGTTTAAACACTTGTGCGAATTTGTTCATTGTTGTGGTGTACTTAGGGAGCTTGATATAAGCTGCCAGTACTATGATCAAAACATAGTGTGCGTAGACAGCGTTAGTGATCTGATTTAGAAGAACAATCAGAGACTTGTTGGTCAGGATATTCTCATAATCGACATTTACTATTATCTGGTAGATGTACAAACTGAAAACGATTCCACAGTAAATAGTCCATGGCCAAGATCGTTTGAAGATGCACTTGTTGTTTTCATGTGTAGTAGTGACAGGTAGTATTCCGAAGCATTTTATGAATAAGAAAATTGGTGATACGGTCTGACAAAAACAGAGGGAATTCTTATTGGCTTGAGTTTTTTTGGTGATCGGGGCAACTTTTATATTCTGGATGGCCATGACTGAATTGGATCAGTTTTTTGTCCAAGCTGCTCGAAACTGGAGTGCCACTAGTACGTAGGTGAGCACAGTGCCAGATATCTGAAACATAAAGTACGGATATGGAATTGACTCAACATCTTCACTGGATGTGGGATAATATTGTTCTTTGGGTGCCACGAATTAACTTCTTTCCTAATAACAATGTTAATGTTGATATTTATCTTGTTTGATCGATTTTTGAAGTAAACGACCAATAATATACATATAACTAGCTTGCTAGTGGGAATTGCTGCAGATTGAAGGTGAACTCATTACAGTTTGTCCGAGCTTTCGAAAATGTATATTTTCATCATCAGGGCGAATACAATAAAAGTTGGAATGTGTACATTGACAATTATATTGAGGATTGGTCAAATGATACTAACACTATTTGAGGATGATTACAATGGTGTTAATTTTTTTTCGAAAGTCGATGTGACATTTTTTGAACAGAACAGTGTCACGAAACATTTAAAATTCTTGTAGAAGACGAAAATACGGTTATTACATAATTTTTACAGTGATGCAAAAATTGTTTTATAACAAATTGAAACATTGAAAATTTTGTACTGATTTTTTTATCACTTTGGTCAACTCTGAGGTTAACTTTTTCTTCACGTCTGCCCAAAGATGAATTATAGGTTGATCGTAATATGAATGTTGTGCATGGCGTGCCTAAGCTTTTACAACTCTAAGCATAATACTCCAGGCAAAAAAGGAAAGGAAGTAGAGAATCATGTCATGGAATGAAATTCGGTGAAAGTTCGACATACTTTGTCCTTGTCTTTGCGAATAGGGGAATGAAAAAAGAGGAGATAAAAATATTTGGAAAAATTTGAAAAAATCACAGAGAACTTGGATATTGAGAATAATTTCCCCACAAATTATATTTATTTTTCCCAATTTTTTGTTTTTTGTTTTTTCTTTTTTCTATTCGCAGTGTCGAGGACAAAGTTTGTCGAACTTTGATCGAATTTCATTTCATGACATCATTCGTTGCTGACTTCCAATTTCTGCCTGAAGAGTGTTATGCTGAGAGTTATAAAAGCTTGCCATGCACTACATCCATAGTACTATCAACCTATAATACTTATCTTTGGGCAGACGTGAAGAAAAATAAGTTTACCTCAGAGTTGACCAACGTGATAGAAAGGTTGAAAAAAATTTTCAATGTTTCAATTTGTGATAGAACCATTTTTGGATCACTGTGAAAATGATGTAAAAACCGTTTTCTCGTCTTTTACATAAATTTTAAATGTTTCGTGGCACTGTCCTCTCCTGGAAATGTTTCATCGACTCTCAAAAAATTCATAACACCATTGTAATCATCCTCAAATATTGTAATAACTATTTGATCAATCCTCAATATTATTGTCAATCTACACATATCAATTTTTATTGCAGTCGCCCTGATGATGAAAATATGAGTTAATTTCCGAAATCTCGGACAAACTATGTTCACCTTTATTTTGTTGCAATCCCCACTAGCAAGCTAGTTGTATCTCTAACGTGTCATCAACGACTTTTCTTCCTTCTACTATATATAAATATGTCGGCTTCAATTAGTGAAATCCGTCATTCCCTGCAATGCCTAGTCATTTCACGTATTGTCGGCAAACAGCGTAACAGCGTAACTTCCATTTTCAGAAGTTCCTCTGTTTGCCGGAGGGTTGGGGAAGTGAAATATTCTTTCTGCATATGCATGAGGAGGAAGAGTATTTTGCCTGAACAAAATATAACCAAACTCCGCGTGAATGAACCTTCTTCCTAGAAAGTATATTTTTCAGAAGATCACTTGAGAGATCAGAAGAGACTACTGCTCCTAAACAACCTAAGCTGACTCGGCCTAAATGAACATTCCTTTCGTCATTACAGGAAATGCCTGAAACTATTAGGCAAACGGTGTTTGCCGGCAATACGTGAAATGAATAGGCATTCCAGAGAATGACGGATTTCACTGTTTGACGCCGACATATATATATTTAACTAAATATTTTCAAAAAATCAACTTGACTATTTGTCACAATCATGAGGCATATGAAATAGTTCTCATTCATCAGGTCTAATTGGATTTTTGATTAGAAGGTTGGATCGGAGATTTGGATATGAATATTTAACTTGAGTTGAACTTACCGATGCCAGTAATCTAGTTCCAATCACTATGGTATCTGAAGCTTTCACAACTGGTCTCTGCAGTGACAGGGTGGTGATCAACATTTCGACCTGAAATCAATATTTTATATCAAAATACCTAAACTTATTTGGCAAGAATTCTGCAGGGTATTCCACAAATGAAATAACCTAACGATGACTTGAATAGTTTTGGAAGAATTCTAGGTCGATGCATAGATTCTGGGAGGAAGATATTCAAAGCTGCTTTCTTCCGTTATCTCCCATTGATGTTAATTTTTCGAACATTTGTGGTAATAACTCCGAGTTTTTGCTTTTGATTAACATCTCATTCCACTTTGAACATTTCAGCTATTTCAAAGTTGAACTGACTATTTATATGTTAGGACTTATTTATGGGCCAAAGGAACTGTTTGCAACTAATGTCAATTACCTCCTTATTCTTATTTTTTTGTTACATGACATTGACATGAGGATGAGAGGGACTTTTTCGTGGTCTGAGTTGAATAAAAGGAAGATGGGATATATGGGTATATCTTGTTCTTGATCTACTCTTATCCATGATTGAAATGAGACAATACCAAAGAATCGCATAACATTTCCTTTGTAAGTGGAGTCATGTTATGTCTATGGGGATACAAAAGTTTAAGAGAAGCATAAGCTGTTCTAATTTTCATTTTAACATGTTTTTCAAACCTCAACTTTGAGTCTCAATCCAGACCAAGGTTTATGACTTGTTCACTGAAGTCCAATTGGTCAATTCCAATGAAAATTTGCAACTGGCTCTTTGCCGCTATTTTCTGACTCTCACTACCAAACAAACCAGCATAGGACTTTGAGGTATTCATATTCATGAGATGTTTTACAGATAACGATCCAAGTTCTGATAGATCATGATTGATCCTCGAAGTTGCATTCTGAATATTTTTTTCTTCGAAAGAAAAATTAACATGCGTATGATCGACATGTAAATGGTAGTTACAATGACAAAAATGACGATGGAAGTTGGATGTATAAAGAGTATATGAGAGAGGATATCATCAATTTTATCAACGACAATGTTATAATAGTTTGATTCAACTTACTTGAGCTGCTTCCGCTCGACTCAACTTGCTTATAGGATATTTGAACAGGAAAGAGAGAATGTCGTTGTTCTGAAACAAATGTAATGCCTGTATAAATAGAAATCAGTTTATTCATAAAATTACATCAAGTAAATTTCCTTTTCTGATTGTATCAATGATACAAATCAATACCTAATGATTTCAATTCTGCCCTATGTTTACAAAGCATAAACTAATATTGAGATAATCACACGGGAATCACATAAATTCCAGTCACGAAACCAAAACGAAAAAATATTTCAATTGTTTGAATACGCCATCTTTTTCCACATTGGCATTGATCAGTAGACGAGAATATCCGAGAGGGAAGGAAGGAAAAGAGTTGAGAAATAATATCTTATGCAATTTTCATCTCTTTTTTCATCGCTTGAAGCGCACGGAAGGAAATCCCTATGTTAAAAAAAAATCGTGCGTACCTAGGTAGAATAGGTAGAGGTAGTAGGTATTGAATTTGTTCGAACTTTTGGAGATTATAAGCTCTTTTCCTCAGGCACTGAATTCCAGAGCTTCGCCGCTCTATACAGACAAACGAGTTTTAATGAAGTGCTGTCCGACATGTTTCGAGGTTAAGAACGAAAGGATGTGTTGAATGAGCTTGTCAAGTTCGTCTGACTGATAGTATTGTCGCAACTCAGATGTTGGCCCTCCTATGGGTCGTAACTTATCTTCTCGCTTTTTTTTATGTTCTGGTTCCTACGAAAAGGGATATTCTGTAATGTTCAGAGGACATCGTGAGAACCAAGTAAAATAAGGTAGGAATTGTTGTTCGTCCCAAATTTCTGGAGGTTATATGCCTCGGGGAACACCTTCCTTGGCAATGTGTTCCAGAGCCTCGCTGTATCGTTGGATGAGGAAGGAATAATTGTTGATATCTCAGAAGATCATTGTTCATGAAAATATCTATAAAATAGAGCATGATCGCCAAGTTTTCTACGGTGTTCCAGAGAGTGGGTTTGTGAGCGAGGCATCACCCACGAGACGAATTGCCTTTTTTTTGGACAGAATACAACAGGTATTTCAGGGCATGTTTTGGTGCTGCACTCCAAATATGGATACAGTTCTCCAGGACAGGTCGAATCTGTGCCTTATAGATCATAAGCAGCTGACTGGCCCGAAACAGAAAACCAAGTTTTTGGGATGGACTTTCAGAAATTCATCTCACGTGATTTTTCCAAGAAAGTTCATTGCTGATAGTAATACCAAGCATCGAAATGGATGTCTTCAAAGGTGTGGTTACTCCTGACAAGCTCATGTTGGGCACAGTGAGATCGGTTTTTTTAGAGAATAGGCATGCTTGTGTTTTGTTTGCATTGAAATCTACCAAGTTATTGGATCCCCATTCGAGAATTGTTGCCAAGTCCATATTTATGTTGTCAACATTTCTCCCTCGTTCGTTTCTGATTTGCATGGCTGGTATTGGAGCCCTGGAAGAAAAGGCGGTATGGAGGATACTATCATTCGCGAAGCTGTGTACTGGACATGAGGTTGCTTCCCACAAATCGTTGATATAGAGTAGTAATAGTGTTGGTGTTTGAATTGATCCTTGCAGAACACCAGCATTTATGATGAGAGGGTCAGATGAAACTCCGTCGACCACTACAAGGAGAGACCTGTTTGAGAGAAAACTAGCTAGCAGAGAACATAGCTGGGGAGGCAAGCCATTTGGTGGAAGCTTGACGAGGAGTCCGTGGTGCCAGACTCGATCGAATGCCTTGGAGACATCAAGTGCCACGGTTAAGTTTTCGCCATATTTTTCAATAGATTGCTGCCATATATGTAAGACGTAAGCGAGCAGGTCAACAGTTGATCTCTGATGACGAAAGCCATATTGCCTATCGTTGATAATACCTGAATGTTCCAGTTATTTCATGAGCTTGATGTTGATAGCTATCTCAATGATCTTTGAAATTATAGATAGCAGTGTGATCGGCCTGTAGGGTAGGGTCTTTTTGCCTTTTTTGGGAAATGGTTTTACTCTTGCAATTTCCCAGTTGGACGGGAATATCCGCAATTTATAAGAGTAGTGGAACAACTTGCAGAGAACAGGTGTTATTTCGGGTGCACATTTCTTGAGAACAATCGGTGGGAATCCGTCGGAGCCACAAGCTTTGTTGGTGTTGAGACCCAATAAAATCTTCCTTATATAGTTGGCGAAAGGTGATCTCGGACATATGACTGTCAATAGGCGTCATGTTTGGAGGTTGTTTTCCCGATGGTTGGCCTTTTGACTCGATGAGAGTTTTTGATCATTGCGCCACCCATCCATATTTACCCCCAAATAAAGATTAAAGACAGTATTCATATGAAATTGAAATTTATTGATTGAATGGGAAAGTCATGAATACATTCAATATTCCAGATTTTTTGAGATTTCGTCTCCTCGTTTCTATGAAATAAGAATATGGACAAATCAGATGATTTGCCTCAAAATGTCACTGCGTTCGAAGAATTTTCCTATTAGAGAGCCTAAAAGCGAAATTCAGCAACTTGTAATTTGTATTGAGAAAGGTTTGAAGAACAGTAATGGAGGTATATAAAAAAATTTCAAATTTTCACTTAGCTGTGGACGTTTCGAGAATGAATCTGTTCCCATTTTGAACATAAAAATGGATATTTGTATAGCGAATTCGTATTCGTCTTGACACTTCTCAGTTCTCAGTGACAATTGGTGACGTTGGCGATCAAATGAGTCACAGGATGTTTATATTAATCAACAGGAAGCAATGCTATTGTCTCCGTTCAGAAGAATGCAAGCAGATTCCATTGAGCATATCAAAACTTCGAACGCAAATATCTTCGTAATCGTTTGGAATAAATAACGGTATATTAAGCTCTAACCGATTATTGGATGAAATATAGGGGTGTTTCAGTTGAAAATGGGAAGTTGATGTGATTTCCAGGAAGACCGGAGGATGAAAAAAAATCCTGAAATGTAAGAAACTGTCCTCTAGTGAGCATATTCGATATTCCAAATCTCAGAAATATTGCTAGAAAAACAAAGGAGAAAAAGGGGGTATATCATTAGTTTAGTAGTAGTAGTAGTAGTAGTAGTAGTAGTAGTAGTAGTAGTAGTAGTAGTAGTAGTAGTAGTAGTAGTAGTAGTTTATTGAAAAATAGGAAAGCCTAATATACAAACATCTCGAGCATCCATAAAACATCACACATATATATGTATAAAATTCACAATAGCAATTCATAGTTATACAAGACACATATTTAAAAACCATTAAGAATAATACCAAAAACAAAAAAGAAAATTTAACATAAAGTCAACAGATAACTAAACAATCAAGCTAATAATACAAAAACCTAATACAGGTTGAGGACAATATCAAGTAAAGAAACAATTATTGAATATAGGATAATATGTTATAAACATTCATAGAGTTTTAACATACTTCGATAATGATGATTTGAAAGAAGATAGGTTTGTGTCACACAATATTGAATTTCATGTGGGGTTCTCTGAAATCTATGTATAATTCCAAAAAAACAGAGTTATGGAATTCTGTTTATCATAATGCCGAAATGAATTGATACTTGCTGACTACTGACGGACTCTTGTTAGATATCCCAGATACTATTAAAAGAGCAGCAAGAATAAGAAGAAGAAAGAATAAAAATACAGCGTTTTCAGTGTCTCTTGAAGTGTAAAGTATGTATTTTTTAATAATAGGCAATAAAATGACTGCAACAAAGTTTTCAATTCGAATAGCTATTTTGTATTTTACGTCTCAAAATTGACACAGAACGAAGCACTCTTTGTGCAAGAACATAGGTCATCCGTACGAAAAAATTTCAATAATTACTTACGAATCCGTGCACAATGTCAGCTCTAGGTGCAGTCCAAATCAAACCCAAAACTATCAGTATCAACGTGATGATGAATTTATGGAAACTTCTAGAACGGGTTTCATACGAATAAGTCATGAGATATATGGACAAAAACATATTAATCGTCAGACCCATCATCCAAATCAACAGGTATATCCTGCTGTTGAACATTATGATGTCATTGTTTCTATGAACAGCCATCAACAACCTCCGATGGCTAGGAATTTTCTTCTTCGGTGGTAAGCTAGAGTTGTAATCATAAAAAACACAGATGTCATTGTAATATTTCCGCCTATCTTCATGGGAGATTGCCAGTAGGAGGTTGTTCTTGAGGGAATGTGAAGCTAACTTTTGAACAACCATGAAAATGCTTAAATACATATTAGATGTGAATGCGTGTGTTAACTGATGGTAAATACCCAGTATAATCGACACCATACGCATGTAGTTGTTATCTATCGAATTGCGCACTTCTGCGTATATCATGAAGCTCATGGTCGGCCAAAGGAAGCAATTGAAAATCACTTTGACCTTCGACATGCTCTTGATGTATTTGACAATCGACATAGACTGGATGCAGAAGTCTTTGTCTTCTTGTATTTTGAGATAACCATTGAGGAAATTTCCATCTTTGGATAATGCCTTCAATTTCCAAAAATGTACAAGACAACCCATCGAACTGATTATGAAGTCATGAAGAAGTACCAGGATATCGTTAGTAGCATTGGAGACAACAGTTGATGTCAGAATTGATATTGAAAATATTGTGTTGAGAATCAACAAGAAGTAGTTTATGCCAAACATCAACTTTCTCTTCTTCACTTCACCAAAGTTGAACTTCTTGTCATGTGAGCAAATGAAAGTTATTGGTTCTAAGAAGAACCCATATGAATTCTTGATAAAGCACACCAAACAATCTTTTTCATTTTTGTTCATTTTCAGTGTTGCTTATGTATTTTGTATCTTGTTCTCGTGACTCGAATGAATGTATATACCGTTTAATTTCCATGATGAATTGAACGTATTATCATTAGGTATCATAAGTATATCAATGAAAGAAATATCAGGATGAGTTGGCTAATTGGGAGTTTTTGATTAGGTATACCATAATTTGAACAGAACCGGAATTGGAATTTCGTGTTATCTTATAGCCTAATGGCAGATAGGAGAAATCAAGGTGAAATGATATAATTGTGGAAAAATACATTTTGCCTTGTTGTAACAAAAATACAGGGCAGTATTTGAATTCGGTGTGAAACTTTGATGTACGATATTTCAGGAACTTCCCGATCTTATCGCCTGAAATTCACTAGCAACTTACCTCTACTTACATACCACACGATGGCGTATTATTGAAAAAAATATTCCAGAGCCAGATTTGGAGAGCTCATTTTCTTTTTTAATGTCTAAATTTCGACTTTCTGAATCGAATTTCTCAAAAACTTTCATCAGAATCAGAAAGATCAGGAAAACACTGAAAGTATATATAGCTTTTCAATCTGTACGGCACCCTTCGACCGGATTGGTCAAAAATACCTATGTATCAAAATACTGATGAATAATTCCATGATTTCGTATTAGCTGTTGTTTTCACATCGTTCAACAAATTCGTTTAAATCCATTTCTTGCTTTTCGGTGTATTATAAAAGCTCTATTCGATAAAAAATTCCATTCTTGAAGAGATCATTCGAAACATGGTGATAAGAATAGCTTATTTTTTATAAAAGTTCCAATACTTACCTCCTCTCCCTATCCTCCCTAAATACGCACGATTTTCTTCGAACATTATAGGAATTTCTTTTCGTGCGCTCCAAGAGATAAGAAATATAAACAATTATTGCTTACTACATCTCATAACTTGAATAGGTGGTGAAAAAATTCCACTCAAGTATGTCAGGTAGTGCCATCTGTCAGTAGAGTGATTACTTGTAGTACTACTCTGTAGTGTATAGACGTAGGGGTCTGTACGTGTGACTATAGATGGCAGCGCCATACAGTGTGTGTCACGATCTCTGGATCCTACCTTAGAGCTTTGCCACAAGATGGCTACAACATGACTATAACTTCATGTTATACCCTGTGAATGATTGCTTAGGTGGAATATTTTTTCCCAATCAGATATACGTGCCAATTGATACTTCATGAAGAAAATTCTCAAGGTAATATTGAATATGATCTGATTGCATAATATGTGAACCCTCTCAATTGACGAATCAAATTGTGAGTTCGGTGTTTTCATTATTCAGAAAGCACTACAAAAGAAGGCTGTGATGGATGAATGGAAATGGATTGAAATAGGTATTTTCTCTCAACAAGATGGGGCACCACCACACATTACTCGATACAAGTGAGAGAATACTTAGACAAACAATTCTCTGATCTCTAGTCTCATTTGATGTTTACAATTATTCATTTCCCAGCATTAACCTGATGATTGTTTACTTCTGGTCCGAAAATTACTTTTCAATGATTCTGTTCTTCCCACCCATCATATATTGATTATCTACTCTTCAGTAGATCTTGTTCATCAACAAATTTTTTCAAGAGAACTGCTGGACAGAAAAAATTCACTACAAGGATTCAGATAAATTAATAATGGTACTTCCAAGGTCATACTACAAAAAATTCTCGCAGCTGTATTCACTTCTCCTCTTGCCTTTCGATGAAATAAGAAGATTCTGAACTGATGACGTGTAATTGTTGATGATCCATCATACAATTAAAAATTTGAAACAAGTAGGTCCTTCATGTTCGAATGTTATTCCTTTGTTACATTTATTTGGTTATTTGTGATGTTTAGAAAATGTGAGTTCAACCGTTTAGATGAGTCCAGCCAAAGACTTTTTGAACAAAATGAGATACATTTCCAACTGGTGCTTGACTACCTACCTATGTATTTCACAATTCAAATAATAGATATACAAAACTTCCTGGTAGAAATCCAATAAGACTTTTCTCCATTGATGTGGGCCAATATTCATCAATTTTTTGTGTGATAAAGTACCTATAGGTCCTTTCTTTTGCTTGAGGAGTGTAGAACTTTGCTATACACTTTCTGTAATTTACACTATACTTGAGTAAGTCATCCTATGCACCAATGAATTTCAACTCCACCTAGTTTTTTCTTGTTTTGTTACAAGTTCAGTAAAGGAGTAAAACTCATACCAGACATCTTTTATTGATCCATATTTTATCTCATTTTTCTACAAAAACCAATCCCCAACATGCCAAACTCCGAAGAAAAAATTATTACTCATATGGTTACCTGTACGTAGTTCGAATTAGAAATAAAGTGTTTCCACACATATGCCCAACCCTGTATATTATGAAGTCTAATAGGTACTCCTGTATAATTTTTCATCGTCTGAGGTGAATAAAGTTCTATTCTATTCAGGGTGAGTAATGGAACTCCATATATCAGCTCTATTATAGGGAAAGGGAGACTGATAGAAAAATCTGAAAAATTTCTGGACTGGGATTCAGTAAGGTCTATTATAAGCCAGATGTGCATATTATTTTTAGATTTGGAAACTAAATTAATGACGTCATCAAATAATTCGTTGCTATTTTGACTGGGTGTTTCACGTGGAACGTCTAAGGGATGTTATTTTTAGGACTCATGAATGTCTATGTCTTCTGGTTTCCGCTTGAAGAAATATAAACGAAAATTATGAATTTTCTTCTTCTCCCATCAATAATTCAAAAACTGAAGATGACACATCAAATTTTCTTTCATATTAATGTTCAGCATGAAAATGCGCAACTCTGGACTAATTCAGCCAACCTCGTATGTCTCATAATAACTGAGATCCACATGGTGGAGCTCGAAAAACGGACATCCTGTATATATCCACGTATATTCGAAATTATACAAAGTAGCTCAACTCAATCAAATGTTCTGATCTGTTTGAAATCATACAAAGAAAATAATCATCATCATACTTACCACATTTACCGTATCAGCTGTAATGATCCAATGAATCAGTGAAGTAACAATTGTCAAAATTGCGAACTGTAAATATATGCATTCCAGGGTTTTTTCTCCCCACTGGATGATGAGTAACAGATAAATGGCGATAGTGATAATCGCGCTCACAGTCAAAATTCCAATCAGGAGACCAAGTCCCAAATAGCTATTCAAGTACTCAAAACACTTGAAATCCATCAAAACGAATCTGGAATAGTTTCGCAGGTATTCTTCCAACCGTATAGTACCTGTGCCTGATTCCAACTTCAAAACTCCTTCTCCAAATTTCTCAGAAGCATTCATTCTTATCTGATTATAAATACGATGAATCCTTTTCGTGTAGTACACTAGCATTGTCATGCACACCACGGAAAGACTAGCGGTTATTCTGCCAACAATTTCCAGAGTTGTCGTTTTCCGAATATCCGAAATGAATATTGTTGTAGGAATAGCAAAAATTTCCATACAGAAATGGTATATCCTCGTGAACTTCGTTTCCAAAATGATAATTTGACTCAAAGGAGCAGGTATCAAATCAATGTCAGAAAAATGGCTCACCATGTAACACCAACAGTTCAAGAACTGAAACAACAAATGTTTGTTCTTGAACAATATCACGAATAATATTAAAACTTGTAGGACAGAAAGCTCCTGAATAACTTGCACCAGACAAGTTACTTTACTTTTTGGACAACTTTCATGTAGTAGGAAGATGCCACAAGTACCTCCTATGCCGATTAAGAGTATGATCAACCAGAAGACAATAGAAGAGCTGTATGATGTAAGTTGAAAATGTTGCCTTTTCGAGTGATATATTTTAGAATGTTTGCAGAACCCTCTAATAGGTGTGAATATTGGTAATTCTATGGTGGTTCTCAAAGTACACACCAAACAGTTAGTCACACCCACTTCTTTACTTATGGTCGACCAAATTTTAGCTGAATATTGAGTCATTAAATCCATGTTATCTACGAGTAAAAGATGAAACACAATGAAAAGATAGGTTGAACGCTGCTGAGTTAACGAACTATGTGAGCAGGTATATTATTTATATATATGCTGTCATTATATTGATAATGATACTCAATAACTCACATGAAGCTTCATTACTTCGGACTCCTAGTGAAATAACTTGTTAATGCCAACAATTCTTTATGCCACATAGAAATGGTAATTTTCTAGTCACTCTGCAATTCTTTGCATAATTATAGTGATTATTTCACACATTTCAAATGACATATTCTTGATGGATTCGAATATTTTTTTTATGGTAGGTATTATAATATACACAGTGAATTGTTGATTTTTCAAAATCTGATTATGGAATATTCTGCAATTGATTGTTAATCGGTCATATAAAATATAAGATCTATATATAATCGCTATTTCCTATATCGACAGCAGAAGCTTGAAATGATGTTTAATGGACCGAAACCCCTCGGAGATGTTTCGCCTTGTGATGATAAATAGTTCACTATTTCTGAATGAATGTTATGGAGAATATATTTTTTCAGCAACCGTCCGGAAAGTGCTCACTTCCCGGAAGCTTTTTCTTTGAGGAAATTACACGAGAAGTACGTACTTCCCGGACTATGCCGGGAAGTATCACATAGTTGTTGTCAATGTAACTATGGAAATCTTGGTAGATATGGTTTTGATTAATGCAGATGATATTTACCTTAGCAGCGACTGTGTCGATCATAAGATTCTCTTAGACAAACTATTCCGTTATGGCATACGGGGTATACCATTAGCATGGATAACACTATCTTTCTTATAGAAAACAATACGTCGCTATTAACAAAGCAACTTCCAGCATGGTCTTCTCTGAATTAGGAGTGCCTCAAGGGTCGATATTGGGACCGATATTGTTTGTTTTATATATAAATGATTTGGAATATTCAATTCCTGGAACATTCATAACAATGTATGCAGACGACACGTCAATTATAATTTCTGACAGATCAGA